GTTTCTGTTTCCCAGACTCTCTGGCCAAAGGATTGTAGGCTGGCACTCCCCAGATCTATGTCTAAAATCCATATATGAGAGAGTACATGCCATGTTTTTCTTTTTGTGACTGGGTTACCTCACTCAGGATGGTTTCTTCTAGTGTCATCCATTTGCCTGCGAATCTCATGATTCCATTACTTTTTTCTGCTGAATAGTACTCCATTGTGTAGATGTACCACATTTTCTCTATCCACTCTTCGGGTGAGGGACATCTAGGTTGCTTCCAAGTTCTGGCTATTACACATAAAGCTGCTATGAACATAGTGGAACAGACATCTTTGTTGTATGAATGGGCATCTTTTGGATATATGCCTAAGAGTGGAGTTGCTGGGTCTTGTGGTAGGTTTATTCCCATTTTTCTGAGGAATCTCCATACTGATTTCCAAAGTGGCTGAACCAGTTGGCACTCCCACCAGCAATGAAGGAGTGCCCCCTTTCACCATATCCTCTCCAGCATAAATTGTCATTGGTGTTTTTGATTTTAGCCATTCTGACAGGAGTGAGATGGTATCTCAGAGTTGTTTTGATTTGCATTTCCCTGATGGCTAAGGATGTTGAGCACTTTCTCAAGTGCCTCTCAGCCATTTTAGACTCCTCTATTGAAAACTCTCTATTTATTTCTGCAGCCCACTTTTTAATTGGGTCCTTTGATGTTTTGGAGACTTGTGGAAAAACAAAAGACCCAGGATAGCCAAAACAACACTGTTCAACAAGGCAACGTCCGGAGGCATCACCATCCCTGACCTCAAGCTCTATTATAGAGCTTTAGTCCTGAAAACAGCTTGGTATTGGCACAAAAATAGACAGGTAGACCAATGGAATCGAATTGAAAACCCGGGTATTAACCCACACACATACGAACATCTGATCTTTGACAAAGAAGCTAAAAATATACAATGGAATAAAGAAAGCATCTTCAACAAATGGTGCTGGCATAACTGGAGACTGGCATGTAGAAGAATGCGGATCGATCCATGTTTATCACCATGCACAAAACTTAAGTCCAAATGGATCAAAGACCTCAATATAAATCCAGCCACACTGAACCTCTTAGAAGAAAAAGTGGGTGGTACCCTTGAACAAATTGGTACAGGAGACAGCTTCCTGAACATAACACCAGTAGCACAGACAGTGAGATCAACAATTAATAAATGGGACCTACTGAAACTGAGAAGTTTCTGTAAGGCAAAGGACACAGTCAGCAAGACAAAAAGGCAGCCCACAGAATGGGAAAAAATATTCACTAATCCCACATCTGACAGAGGGTTGATCTCCAAAATTTACAAAGAACTCAAAAATACTTTTAATATCTTTCTAGAGTTCTTCTTTAGCATGCATCAAGTTAATTTACATTTATATAACATTATATTTCAAGTGTTTTTTTCTAAATATTGATCCATGAGGTTATGCTCTGAGTTCTATAGAATATCATTTAATTAAATTTGTTTTGGGATTAGTACAGAATTTTAGAAACCTATCTGAAGTAGCCCTAAACTTGAATCTGCAACTTTGATTTGAATATACATTCTAAGCATTGATGAGTATAAATTAGAAATTGGTCACCCAAGAAAATGCTGAAAATATTATTATCCTGAAATATGAAATATTTAGTTAGGATTTAATTTCTTATGTGAAAGCAAATGTGCACATGCATCTAATTTGCATACCAACTAATATTAGTAAATAACAACATTAAATGTATAATAAAGAATTGTTTTTAAATGTTTTTATCATATCTTATCAATACATGTTTCATGTATAGATGTATTGTATATACGCATGTACCTAAGTCATACTGTTTTTTACAGTGAAAAGGGATTTCAATTAGAGAAAAGTCAAGAACACTTGCTATAGAATTCCAGGAATGGGGGATGTCCTTCTGTATGCTGTGAATATTTGTTTCTCTTACTGGCTGATGAATAAATGCTGGCTGGCCATTAGGTAGGCAGGAAGTATAGGAGGGGCTTCCTGACTAGGAGAATTCTGAGAAGGAGAAAGGCAGAGAAACAGTTGACAGCAAGATGCCACGTAGCTGCCAAGGAAGAAAGTGGCTTGGGCATCACTGACAAGTCAAGACCATGGGGAAATGCATCAGTTAATAGAAATAGGTTAATAATTAAGGAAGAGCTAGCCAATAAGAAGCCTGAGCAATTTTCTAAACAGTTTAATATAATAGAAGACTCTGTGTGCTTTCATTGGCAGGTGGGACAGAAACCTCCATCTACATCCCTGCTGGTATATTTCTCCTTTTGCATGTAGAAGATAGAAAGATTAATCCCATAACAATATAGAGTATAATAATAGCTATCAGAGGCTGTCTGGGAGGCAAGGACAGCGCAGAGTTTCATTTAGGAGATGTCTTTACTGATAATTTTACTTCGAAGGAAGGCTCCCATGTTCTTAAGAAAACTGTACCTCAGTTGTAAAGATGGGAAATTTTGCATATACATCTAAGAGTACATGTAAGTTTGACCAGACTCAAGTGTAACAAAGCCGAAAGAAATCGAGGTCATCTTGATAACAACCAGACTGAAATTTAGTCATAGATAGAAATTATAAATTCTGAGCCCAAGTGCCTCATTTAGTACCTGTTAGCATGCTCTTTATCAAGTTTTGAAGAGAGTTCACTGTATCTTTTATGCATAGTGAAGACTAAATGAGATTATGTACATAAAAGTACAAACAATATAAATTTAAATTAGCATATTTCCCTCTCCAGGTCATTGTTTTTACAAACATATTACATGCAAAGTTCTTAAAATGATATACTTCCTTTTGTCTTTCTATTGCATTTGGTTTTGGTAATCTAATTGATGTTGTCTAAATGTCAGTTCTATTGCATATACACTTGTCTCATACAAACATAGTCTTAAAAATCATCAAACATCCCTAGTGCACAAATGGACTTTGGGGCTCCATTCCCCATAGTGGGACACTCTCTCAGCCCAGATACATGGGGAAAGCCTACATGACAGACTTTGATGATCCTCCTATGGAAGGCCTCACTCTCTCTGGGGAGCGAATAGAGGGTATGATGTGGGGATAGTGGGAGGCATGGGAAGATGGGAGAAAGAGAGAACTGGGATTGATATGTAATATAAGATTGTTTCTAAATTAAATAAATAAATAAAAACTTTAAGAAATCAACAAATAAAGACACTCATGGTAACTGTAGGCAATCAGTCAAATTTAAGACTTGTCAGTGAAAGCTTTTGACAAGTATCTCAATCTTCCTTATTACCATGGATACTTACTATCCAATGGAAGGTCCCAGTAGACATTTTTGCCCATAACTTAATGGTAACCAGTGGATTTTCTTAAAAATACCTCAGCTCAACAATGCAGAAATGTCTGTGCAAGCAATAAAAGTTATAGCATATACCATGCCACATTAATAATCTGTACTAACAAATGTGAGTTTTGTTTTGTTTTGCTTTTCACTCTTTAGGCAGCAATTGCATTGGTCTTCTGTGCTTGAAGAGAAAGACATGGCATTCCTGTGAATAGGAATATTAAATGTTCAATCTTCTAATCAGATTCTTGAGTGCACTAGGTTTTTCCTTAAGTTTTCAGAACTTCAACTGGCACACCCTGTATTGTATTAGGCACTGCTGGCAACAGAACTAGTTTCCATAGCCTCCATATACTATACCAAGTCTTTTCTGTCTACTTGCAATAAATCTGAGGAGGCATGTATGCATCTGTTCATAAAACCAAGAATAAAAATACCATATTAATATAGGTCCTCAGTTTTACTGGCTTGAGAATAGTTACAAAATAAATGACTGTTAAATTGGTTTGGAAATATAATTTACCCTTTTGGCATAAGAAGTTCTGCAATCAGTTAAACACTGATGAAACCAAGGAATTTTATTTTTATGTATGCACACAAGGAAATGAAAGCAGTATATTAATAATACATGCAAGATATCATAGCATCATTTTTACCATAAATCATTACAGAAATGACTCTAATATTTACCAGCAAATGTATAAACAAAAATTGTTCAAGGACTCAGATTTAGAAAAGAATGCAATTCTGATATCCAGTACATACTAGATAAGCTTTAAAGTATACTAAGAGAAATAAATGAGACAGAAAGGAAAGCTATAATTATGTAATTATATGATACATGACTGTGATTCACAATTCATGAGGTGCCTAAAATAGGCAGTTTTATAGAGAAAAGGTCAAATAGAGGTGATTAAGGGATGGGGAGGCAGGGAATAGTACTGTTTGTGACTATGGAGAAGTTCGTGTAGTAGACAGTGCTGATCTTTGTGTAACTTTATGGATATATTTAAGACTATTGAATTGAATACTTGACATGGTTAAAATTATACATTGAATGATACGCTGAAATTATTAAAACTGACAATTTTAATTCTCTGTGTGTTTTAGTTCACTGAAAATTTAAATTCACAAACATACAATAAAAATTATTACAAGTATTCCATAAAGTATAGAATTTAGATTTGTTATTTTTGGGAATATTGAAATGGAAAGAAAATTACTCCAGATGTGGATTCAGTCTTAGTCTCAAATTGCCCTTCTGCCACTTGTTAGTGATAAGAATTCAGTCAACCTCTCAGCTATTTAGTAGTTTAGTTTAGAGTAGTTGTGATGGCTACAACAAAAATGCATATTAAGTGCCTAACAGAGGTCCTCATCCAAATACATGTAGGCAGTTCTCGCTATATATTCTTTAGGAAAATGGCCATTATGGTTTCCTCGCTGAAATGCATGCATTGGTCCTATTTTAAAACCATAAATTGTCAATCTGTAATGGTAGTCTGATGAAGCACAGGAAAATTAGCATTATCTTATAATGTTTATAAATATAATAGTAAAGTATGTTGGTGTCCAGTAACATTTTTCCTTACTATAAAAATAAAAAACAAATTAAAATGAGCATGTCTTAAAAACAGTCTGACTATTGCTTTTTTTCCTTCCTTAGTGGTTATGTCTTTGACTATGATTACTACAGAGATGATTTCTACAATCGGTACGTGAATTTTTTAACCTTGTTCTCTACCATCTGTATTATACTCTATTTTATGCATTTAACTTACTTAAACTATTAATTAATGCTTGAAAGTTTTTACAACTGTACCATAGATGTATCTTCTTTCTTTTGTTATATTTATTGGCATACAGTAGATTTTGCAATTAGAATTGAGCTTTAGAGTTGCCTAACACTACAATTTTGTTGGTAGTATTGAACAATATGTTAACTATTTAATTATTTTCCAGATCAATTGTTGATTTAGAATTCTCAAAGCTGAGAGTTATTATGGCTCAAAAGAAAGAAAGAAAGAAAGAAAGAAAGAAAGAAAGAAAGAAAGAAAGAAAGGAGAAAAGAAGGGAGGGAGGAAGGATGGGAGGGAGGGCAAAGGTAACAAAACCTAGAATTCATCTGCCTATGTGATACATTGAATTTATTAGAATCAGAAGCTTAAGAGAACCATACAAATTATCTCACTCTCTGTGCTAAAAGTATATGAACAAATGATAATTGTTTATCATCTTATACTATGAAACAATAACACTGTTGAGAGCTTCATTTATGTCTGTGTGTGCTATGTATCAAAATCATCCCAGAAAGCAGACATATCCTTTTATCAGGTGACTGAGGAGCTGGAGCAAGCACCTACCTTGTGCTTTGTGAACCACCATGGTTCGTTTTGAGGCTAGACCAGCCTCAGTGACGCATCCTAACTGTGCGTGGTCTCTCCTAAAGTTCTTTCCCCGTGCAGATTTGTTGCAACGTCACTTGCTTCCCATAACCTCATTCTTTCCTCACGTCATATACATTTTCTTTATGAATGGCAGAAAGTATCGTTTCATTCATTTTACTGAGTCTGCATCTAGATGTTTTCAAGAGGCATAACACATCTTTGCTCAACTGTTTTGCCTTGTTTTGTTTTGTTTGACGTATCCATTTACATTTTGTTTCAATTTGTTCTCCATGTTATGATTCTAAAGTTATTTGCAGCACCCATTCTTTCTTTTAATTATCTGTTCATTTTAAACGCCACAAATAGAGGTCACGTTATAAATGCCTGGTTTCTATCTCTATGTTAACTGAGTCTAGCCAGCAGCCACCATCCTCTTTGTCTTTTTAGAGAAGTGATGCGATTACTGACTTATTTGTATAATCCAGTCTATACATTGAGGTGTTAATGACAGGTTACCTGTATTGGTATCAGATATTTGATTTGTATTTTAGAAAACTTGTTTATGCACCTAATTGTTGACAAGGAAATTCATGGATAGTTAACACACACAAAAACAACAAACAGAAAAACTGTATGTGACAATTGGAATAAACAAATGAGTGGATGGATAAATGATACAAGTATTTTCCTCAGACTTTAATTTCAAGTACTGTTAAAACAAGGGAGTCCAATGAACTACATAAAAACGTGAGGAAAGGTTTTTAAAAGATCACAGAGGGCAAAGGAGCCAGTCATTCCTTGAGGGTTTCTTTCCCACTTGTGAATAATTTTTCAGTTCTCCCAGAAAGCCACTGGGTCCTTTCTGTGTGCTGTCCCAGCTCCAAGGTCCTCTGACCACCCGCTTCACTTAACTCATGCTCAGAACACAGTGGGAAGACTATCCCAGGTTGAGTCAGGTTCCCTGGGCTCTCTGCCACCTGGCGTGGCTCCCTCCCCACACTTCTTAGTTGTGTTGCTACAGCTCCTTCCGCAGTGTGAGGTCTAATCATGTCTGTCTCCCTTTCTTCGCAAGCACCACAACAATGTTAACTTGTACTTGGCTAATAAGGGATACTTAAAATATGCAGTTAGTTTATCTCGTTAAACACACAGAGCTATTTTGTTCATTATAGACAGGGGTAGACTCACAGCTTGGTCATTCAGTCTGATGCCACAACAGACTACATGGGAAGGCACAGGGAGCAAAAATATCTCCAACTTGTATGTGGGGTTAATGTACCCCAAATCCTATGTTGGGAGCAAGATCTAAGCACACTGTTCACACAGTCACTTTTCTCTAGTTCCTTCTGTAGACAAAAGCTGGTTCTAAGGAATATTCCCTCAAATTGTCTCATAATTTGAACAATATTTCTGTTTTGTTTTCAGCACTTAGTAGCTTATAATAATGTGTTCTGAAGGTAATGCCTACATCTGGCAGCATTAAATTAACCCCATCCCCTACAAAAAATAAATGGTATTGAGATAGTCTTTACATTTAGTGAAAACCTTGACTTTTAATAGTTTCATAATAATTTCCCGCTGGAATTTTTTTAGGATGAAAAACAATGTTTTAATTATGATAAATAAAATTTCCTCTAGTATTTACTATTTAATGGTGTATCAAAATGCCATTATATTACTCACTTTTCTTAATGTTTTATTATATACTAAATAGATTTCTACTTAAATGAATTTTGCTTTATAAGGTAAGAATCATGAGTCTTCTAATTGTAAAAAAATCAAATTTGCAGTTGTCTCCTTTTTAAAGACAAGATACAGGGTTTCATGAGAAGTCTAGGTAGGTAAAGGAGGCTGCTGTGTAACCTGGCAGCTTTTGTTCAATCACCAGCATCCAAGAAAAGAGCAGAAGGAAAGCAATTACTCCACAATGTTTTCTGCTGACCTCAACACATACACTGTGGCATATACCTCCTCCCTCTCATGCACACAAACACACACATGTACATGCACACATACACACACACATACACACACATACACACACTAAAAAGGTAATTAATTTGCTAAGAAGATAAGATATCCATTTTACTGTTTATTTTAAAAAGTGGCTATCTAAAACAATAGGTAGAAAATGGAGCTTACTTTACAAAGATTAACACCATAATAATAAAGAATTTTGGAGACTGAAGATCTCTTATGACTATCCTCTCCACACAAAACCTAACTAAAGCCAATTTTCTTTTCTTTTTTTTAAAATTTAAACTAGAAACAAGATTACTTCACATTTCAATCCCAGCTCCCTCTCACTCCCCTCCTCCCCCCACTCCCCACCAACCCTCCCAATTCTCTACCCCATTCCCCCTTTGCTTTTTACGGAGGATGAGGCCCTCCATGGGGGATCTCCAAAATCTGTCATATCTTCTGGGGCAGGACCTAGGCCCTCCCCTATGTGTCTAGGCTAAGAGAGCATCCCTCCATGTGGAATGAGTTCCCCATATCCATTCGTATACCAGGGATAAATACTACCCAAGACCCCATAGATTGCCGAGGTCTCCTCACTGACATCTAGGTTCAGGGGTTCTGTATCAGTTCCATGCTGGCCTCTCTGCCATCCGTCTGTGGCCCATGACCCCACCCCCTTGTCAGCTGTCTTTGTGGGTTTCACCATCCTGGTCTTGACGCCTTTGCTCATCACTCCTCCCTTTCTGCAACTGGGTTCCAGGAGTTCAGTTCAGTATTTAGCTGTGAGTGTGTGCCTCTGCTTCCATCAGCTACTGGATGAAGGTTCTAGGATGGCATACAAAGTAGTCATCAGTCTCATTATTGGGGAAGGGCATTTAAGGTAGCCTCTTCACTATTGCATAGATTGCCAGTTGGTGTCATCCTTGTAGATCTCTGGAAATCTCACTACTGTCAGATCTCTCCTCAAACCTGTAATGGTTCCTTCTATTATGGTATTGCTCATCTTGCTCTCCTCTATTCTTCCCCAGACTCAACCTTTCTGCTCCCCGTGTCCTCCTTTCCCCTCCTCTTCTCCCCCTCTCTTTCTCCCAGCTTCCTCTCCCCTCACCCTAAGCTCCCAATCTGCTCAGGAGATCCTGTCCCACTCCCCTTCTCTGTGGTACCTTGCATATCTCTCTTATGGTCCTCCCTGTTTCCCAGACTCTCTGGCAGTGTGATTGTAGGCTGGAAATTCCCTCCTTCATGTCTAAAATCCATATATGAGTGAGTGCATACAATCTATTTGACTTCTAAGTGAGCAATAGATCATTATGATTATTTTACTAACAGATTATCTTTAAAAATATGTGCTCTTGTAGTTTCTCTTTCTTTTATAAAAACCCTTGGCCAAGAAAGACATGAGCATCTGCCATCAGTGGCTTACCTCCCTGTCAACACAGAATCCCCCAAAGGTAAATCAGGGGAGAAAGGATGGACAAGAAGAATGGACCCAGATTCACTGCAGCACTTAATCACAGTTATTCTGCCTAAGCTACATCCATTTTGTGTTTATGTGAGACTATTCTCAAATATTTTGGATACTACTACATACTAAATTGTTATTTAATACTGCAAAACTTGCTGATTGTTCATGATCAATTTTAGCTCATAAATGTATGTAATAACTAACAATATCTCTAATATGTTTTAGTACTGAATCAATGTCAAACACCAGTGTAAATGAACAATTTTAACAACAATGTTAAATGTGTCTTATACTGGCTATATACCTGGGGAATAAGATCATGACATAATAATACTTCCATTATAGACCATTCTTGCACCATTGATTGGCATTTCAGCCATAACTCAACACATCCACAGATTGTGAACATTCTATTATTTCCTAAGACCATGATTCTTTGTTTAAGACAAGGCAAGAAAGCACACTGGTTATGTTTAGCAGAGATAATTACACTTTTTTAAAAACTTTCTAAATAAGAATTGAAAATCCAAAAGGGTAAAAACATTTTATCATAATGGAATTAACAATTGCAAGAAAGAAGACAAATGCTGTTATTAAAATTCACCATAGAAAAAGGGATTTGCTGAGCTGAAATTATGAGTAGGAATTTCTGTTCAGCCCATGCATGTATCTGTATTTCTGTGGAACTGGGACTCAGATCTTCAGCGACATTGGCTACTGGTATGGATGTCTTGGAGGGATTGTGAAGAAATGAATGCTGCAAATTCTGCCAATGTGAATATTCTGTTGCTATTGGAATGAATTGTGCTTGCCAGTGTAAAGAAACAAAGCTGGGGTAATAATAATGATGATGGGAAACATAACAAAATGTCCATTTTCTTGGTCCATCTTGAATTTTCC